GTGATCCTCGTAGGTTCCGCCGTTCTCTTGCGAGGTGCTTGTGGAGGGTGGGTTGGCCCAAGGTGGGGTGAGGGAACAAGCTCAGCTGGGGGCTCACAGTTCCTCCCTCAATGGGCCGTCCAGAGCGATTTGTTCCACTCCGCCCTCTGGCCCTGCCCCACCCCTACGACTCCCAGATGAGTAGGAGAAGCAGGAGGAGGATAAGGGGGAGGAGGTGGAGGAGGAGGAGGAGGAGGAGGAGCAGGAGGAGGAGGAGGAGGAGGAGGAGAAGGCGCAGTGCTTCCTCAGACTGGCTCAAGGAGGCCTGGGGCTGAATTCAGCCTCGCAGACGGCAGCGGCGGCGTATCTGGGCAGCTGGGCTCTGACCTTGAGAAGCGTTCGCGCGTGCCTGGCGGTCGTCGCCTGGCAGAACTTTTCAGCTCGTGGTCCCGCCGTGGTCGACGCCGTCGGGCGTGCCGAGGCGACGCTGCGGCGGCAGGGCGGCGGTGCCATCGATGCGGTGGACTGGGCCAGCTGCTTGGCCGGGCCGCTCGCGGGCCGACAGGGGCACTGGACGGGGTTGCTTCGACAGCGAGCGCGCGAAGACTTGCTGCAGTCGCTGGGGGCAGACGACCGCGTCGACCTGCGTTTTGCTCGACGCCCTGGAGCAGGGGGGTGGTTGGAAATCCCCGTCGTCAGGGAGGGGGGACGCCGGCGAAAGCCCCCAGCGAACACTTCCTGATGGCTTTGGCAGATCGGCTCCGCTGTGATCTCTGCGCCCCTGGAGCGACGTGTCGCCTCCGCAAGCAGGGCGGCACCGTCTGCGGCGTGGCGTTGGACAGGCGAGGGAGACACGCGCCGAAATGCCCGTGCGGCCCTTTCAGAACTGGGAAGCACGACGCCATGCGCGACTTCTGCGCGGCCTACCACCACAGGGTCACAGGCTACGCAGCCACCACGGAGCAACTGGTCACGGCTTGGCACCGCACCCACTCCAAGACAGGGGTGTTGGAAGAGGCCAAGCTGGACTTCGCCACTCGCGACGCGGTAACGGGCAACAGGGTTTACCTCGACACAAGCATCGCCTGCGCTCACAGCGACGATCCTTCGCGCCAGCGGGCACGCTCCAATCGGGACGGCCTTGCAGCCCAGAACCGCATGGACGCCAAGCGCCAGAGGTACCCACCTCACGGAGGCGGTCTGGTTCTCATCGTGTTCGAAACGGGCGGCCGCCCGGGGGAACGCCGCCGTGGCCTACGTGCGTTCCTTGGCGCGCGGCCTCGAGGGAGCAGCCCGCGCCGAGGTGCTACGCTACGCCTGGCAGCAATTGAGCTGCTTGCTCCAAGTGGGCAATGCCGAGGCGCTGCTGGCCGCCATCGGCCGGTGAGGTTGAGGTCCAAGCAAAAGGCAAGGCAGGGGCAGCCCCGCTCCGAGCCAGCAGGGGCGCGGGCGCGGGGGCCCGGAGTGACGCAGCGCGCAGCCCCGCAGACACCAGCCGCAGCAGCGGACAACCGCCGCCGACGACGTTGACCGACCCCTACGACCGACGATCCCCTGGGAACGACGCCGACCGACCCCCGTCTCCCTCTCCTCCCTTGCCCCCACCCCTTTTCCCTTGTGCCGGCCGCCCTCGGCCAGCAGTTGCGTCTCCAAGAGGCGATCTCCACAGGTTCACTTTCTTTCCCGCGAGACGCGGGGCCCCGGGCGGACGCCAAAGGCATTTGTCCGGGGCGCTCGTTTTTTCCATTGCGTTCGTTTGGGTGGGTTTTTTTCGCAGTGGGCCCCGCCCCGGTTTCGGACCTTGGCCCGCCGCGGGCTGTCCCTTCCCGGGCGCCGTTGGCCTCGGGTGCTGCCTGGACTGCCCCTCCCCCCCCTGCCGGAGGAGGAGGAGGAGGAGGAGGAGGAGGAGGAAGAGGAGGAGGTGGGTGGAGGGGGATGAGGAGTGGAGGACGACGAATATGAGGAGGAGGAGGAGGAGGAGGAGGAGGAGAAAGGACGACGAACAGGAGGAGGAGATAGAGTAGAGGATTAATCGGAGGAGGAGGAGGAAGAGGAGGAGGAGGAGATGGAGAAGAAGAGGAAGAAGAAGTAGGAGGAGGAGGAGGAATGTAGTGGAGGAGGCGGAGGAGGATGAGGAGGAGGCGGAGGAGGAGGAGGGCGAGGGGAAGGAGGGGACGGGCAAGGGGGGGAGGAGGAGCGCGCCCCCGCCTCGGAGGCGTACGTCGCCGACGTCAAGGGCAGCCTGGTGCTGCGCGGTTTCCCCGCGTCCTGGTCCGAGAAGGCCTGCTCCCCCCCAATCCCTTGTATCCTTCCTTCCTCCCTCCTCCTCCTCCTCCTCCTCCTCCGCCCTCCTCCTCCTCTTCCTCCTCTTCCTCCTCCTCCTTTTCCTCCTCCTCCTTCTCATTTCAACTCTCGCCTAATTCCATATCCCTATGCATCTACCTCCCATCCCCTGGGGTCCTTTTCTTCCTTTCTTCTCTTCCTCCCCTCCCCCACGCTTCCTCCTACTTCTCGCTCGCCTCCTCCTCCTCAATTCTCTTCCTCCCCTCCTCATACCCATCCGCCTCCTCCTTCTGCTCCTTCCTCCTCCTCCTCATTCTCCTCCCTGTCTTCGCCACCACTAACTCACCACCACCACACAACACCACACCACCACCACACCGTGCCACCACGTGCCCCGCCGTGCCACCATCGTCGCCACACCGTGCAACCACACCCCCCACCACAAAAAAACGCCGCCACCACCACCACAACCACCACAACCACCAACACCACAACACACCACACCACCACCACCACACCACCCACACCACACCACCACCGTGAACCACCACACCCCACCGTACACCACAACCACCACCACAACCACCACCACCACCACCACCACCACCACCACACACCACCCCCCTCCCCCTCCGTGCCACCACACCGTGCACCACCAACGTGCACCACCACACCAACACCACCACCACCACCACCACCACCACCACCGTGCGCCACCACACCCATCACCACCACCAAAAACACCACCACCGCCACCACGACCACCACCACCACCATCCACCACCACACACCACCACCACCCACCCACCACCACCACCCCCGGAACCACCACCACCACCACCACATCACCCACACCACCACCACCACCGGCCACCGCCACCAGACCACCACCCCACCACCACCACCACCACCACACATCATCACCGTGCCACACTGCCACCAACATTTACACCACCACCTCCACCACCACCACACACACCACCACCACCACCACCACCACCACCACCACCACCACCACCACCACCACCACCACCACCACCACCACCACCACCACCACCACCACCCACCCCATCCCTCCATCCCCTCATTTCTCCTTCCGCCCTCTCTCCCTCCCTCCTTCCCTCCTCTTTCCTCGTTCCTCCCTGCTCCCTCCTACCTGCTGCCTCCTCTCTCCTCCATCCTCCCGCCTTCCTCCTCTCTCTTCTTCCTCCCTCCTCCTTCTTCCCCTCCTCCTTCCTCCTCCTCCTTCTTCTCCTCCTCTACTTCCTCCCCTCCTCTTCTTCCTCCTCACCCTCCTCCTGCTCCTCTTCCTGCTCCTCCTCCTCCTCCTCCTCATCTTCCTCCACCCACCCACCTCCTCCTTCTTCTCCTCGGAGGCGGAATGCGTCTGACTGCTACGTAAGCGGTCGGCGAGAGTGCGCTTCTTCGCAGTGTGAGGGCACTTCAGCGAGGCGCCCAGACGCAGACTCGGCGCGCCTGAAGGGGCGTGTCTCCTCCTCCTCCTCCTCCTCCTCCTCCTCCTCCTCCTCCTCCTCTAGGTTCCTATCACCACGCAGGGAGTCCAGAAGAGCCTAGCGGTTGTCGGTTGTGGGTTGTCGGCCGTGCGGGTCATCTCACCAAGCGGTTTTAGCTTGTTTTGTTTCTCTTCCTCCTCCCCCTCCTTTCTCCCCCTATCCCCTTCCTTTCTCCCCCTCTCCCTCCTCACCCACCCGTCCACGGGCGACCATGGGCCAGTCTCCTAGTGTTCATGGCAAGCCTGGCGGGTGCCAAGTGCCGCGCGCGAGGTGTCGCATGTCTCGCAAGTCCCACAGGGGCCCTCAAAATGTTGCTCCCGCTGAAGCGCTGACCCCATTTTTGCGCCTCTGGTTGTTCCACATCGTGCTCCCGCTGCAGCGCGGGCGTTTTCGTTTTTTCCGAATAGGCCCCAACATGTAAAGAAAAAGCACATAACAATAATCTGGAGTGATTACACATTCGGTGCCGATTCGTTGATTTGTTGGGTCGCAGAAGCCCCCCCCCCCACACACTTTGTGGCGTCGTTGTGTTCAGGAAGTATCAACGACGTTGAAAGCAGAGCCAGCGGGTGCTCTCCATCAGCCCCGCCTTGTGTGGAGCTTCCTGGGGAACACAAGGAGCTAGACATGGAGCCACGAATCCAAACCGGCTCAGACTTCTCGATCATAATCCACTTACCTTCCAAGGAACCCGACGCCATGCCATGACATGTTGTGCGGTGTTGTGCTCTGCGCCGCTGTGCGATGCCATGTTTTGCGTTGCACTGCTTTGTGATACAATGCTTCATCTTTACTGTGCAACCACGCCATGCTATGGCATGCTGCGCTCTGCCGTGCTCTTCTACGCCATGCCATGTCGTGCCCTACCATGCATCGCATACCCTCTCGCGATTATTGCCCTGCTCGACATCCGACTGTGCGAATAGAGAGGATGGATATCTACGCTATGGAAGGGATGGGAGGGAGTGGTAGGACGTCAGATGTCACGCGAGCGGACCTAGCTTGTCGTCCTCCCCTCTCCCCAGTCCTACGTCCGGTAGCGGTGGTGGGCAATTTTGCCCGTCATGTCCTCTCCCCCCTGTCTCGCCGAGGGGCTGCGGTTCATCTTCGCGCCGTTCGGCGGCCTCGCCTCCGTGAGCCTGGAGGAGGAGCGCCGTGACAAAATCCTGCCAGCCCGTGTAAAGAAGATGCACGAGGCTTAGGACGAGTACGGTAGGTTTGCGTCGTGTCGACCAGCGGCGACCCCAGCGCGGGCGTTCAAGGTTGAACGCCGCTGGCGACCCAGAATCGATCGATGTTGAACGATCGGACGTTGCGGCAGCGGCCGATCGTTCAAGGTTGAACGATCCCTGCGGTGTCAAAAACCAACGCTGGGGTCGGCACGACACGAACCTGCCGTAGGACGACCGGAAAAAACCAAGGAGGGATCACAGCCGACCCGTATGAGAAGGACGCACGATGAGGATGCGAGGGCCTCGGAAGGCCATGTTGGCGTTTTTTGAACGGGGTTGGCCAGCGAATCGTCGCCGAGGATGGGCCGAAGGAGCAAGGATGCAAGGGTAACCTTGGAAAGTTGCTCATCCTTACTACGCGGTTCGACTGTAGGACAGAGCCCAACCACTTCGGTACCAATCCCAACCACTTTGTACCAATTCCAACCGCTCCTGGAGGCTCCCTAGAGGTTGTTTAGGAGTTCCTGGAAGCCTCCCTCCAGATTCCCGGGGATTCTTGTCCGGTTGGGAAGTGGCCGAGTCGGTTGTACTTTTGGTATCGGTCGGCTGGGATTGGTCCGACAAGCGGAGGGCCCCCCCGCCAAGTATTCCTCAGTCAACTTGGGGTGGGGAACGGACCACTTCCGCGGGAACGCTCGAAGGAGAAAAGGGGGGACAAACACACGCAAAGACAAGGCACTCACTCACTACTTCAATTCTTAGAGCATCTGGGATGTCCATGAAAAGAAGATCTAGAACAAAAAACTCCCCCCCCAGCTCGGCGTCGGCTGCTGTCGTTGCAGGCCTCCCTAGCGGGGCCAGAGGGGCCAGAGCGGACGGGGTCGGAGGATCCGCACCGCCGCCTCGCCGAGCGGCGATGCGGGGGTGTCTGGAGCGGGCGGGCGGTCTGCTCCATCCCGCCGTCACCGATGCATCGTCGATGCATCGCCGGTGCGGTGCGATCACTGACCGCATTTGTTCTTGCCCCATTTGGGGAGGCATCCAGTGGCGGCGGAAGCGGGGGGGCTCTCTGGCCTCCTCCATCCCCGCCTCCCTGCCTCCTCGGCCTCCCCATCCTTCCCATCGCCCCCCCGAGGGAAACGAAGATAACGTGGGGTGGTGGTGGAGGAGGAGGAGGGTCTACGAGGAGCAAGAGGAGGAATACTGGAGCACTGGATTACTGTCCGGTATCATCGAAAGCCTTTCAAAGCAGCAGGGCTCGGACGCTATCACGTAGAGCCCCCAAAAACGAAGCAATGGATGACCTCGATCACTACGTGAAGCTGGCAAAGAGCCCTCCCTCTGGAATGGCCTGGCGTAGTATGAGGACGTGGATGGGGAGAAGGAGAGGGATGGTGAAGAGGGGAAGGAGGAGCAGGCGGGAGAGTCGGAGAAACACATGGCTGAATTAAAACCGATGATGAGGATGATGAGGAACATGAGATGGGGGAAGAGAAGGAGTAAAGGGATGATCAACGAGACAGAGGAGGAACGCGGTTAGACAGTGGAGGATGAGGAGGAATTGGACTTGATGACACCATAGTCATCAGCGCCCAGCGCCCAGTAGTTGGAGGATGAGGATAACATGGATGCTGGAAGAGGTGGTCTGGACCAGCCCTTCCCTTGAAGCCTGTAACATCATGTCCGCGTCGGCTTCCTATCCAGCTGGTCGGAGGTGGAGTTCAAATATTCGTATTGGAAATTGTCTGAGGCTTCTGGAGGGTTTCTCGGGAGCCTTTCTCGGCGGCGAGCGAGGGGAGGAACTGAGAAGGAGAAGGCCTTCTCAGAAGGCGGCGGGACTTCTCAGAAACCCTCGCGCCGTCCAAGAAGTTGTTTGTGTCTTCGGGGAAGGCTTGGACAACTTCTCAGAAGGCCCCGGGACTGCCGAGCCTTCTGAGAAGGCCCGCCCCTTCTCTTTTCCCCCTCGCTCGCCGCCTACGTTTATGTCCGCTTTGGATGCCTTTGGTGCCTGTATGGGGGACTTCTGAAGGGCCTTTTGGGGTCTCTTGGGCCTGTCAGGAGCGTCTCGGGGGCCCCTGTGGGCCTCTGAGGGGGTCCTCTTGGAGGCATGTCGGCATGCCGGGGTTCTTGGAGGCAGGGACCGCCTAGGGGGCCTTTCGGTCGCGAGCTTGGCTGCCTTGGGGTGCTTTTTGCAGTTTCCGCTGCTTGGGAAGTTGCTTGTGCCTGTTTGTGATGACTTTCGTGTTCAGCCTGCTTTTGCATGTTTTTGCTTTCGGCTGTTTTGACCTCGCCCAGGGCCCAGGGCTTTGTCGGGAAAAAGGCCCTCAAGGCAGCATGTCGTTACAGTGGACTCGCGTGCCAAGAAACACCCAGCTTGCCTCCAGGGTGCCCTGGATGTCTTGGGTCTCGATAGTTTTGCTGTGGTACGCCTGACGTTCCCACGCCAAACATCAATGGACGCCTTGGGGTCTGAGGCTTTGGTTTTTGTTGTGGAAGGTTTCTTGTGGTCGAGCTCCTGTAGATCCACGGCTCCGCAGAGAGGACAGGACTTTCGGGCGTGCGGCGAGGGCACGGCGCTGACCCGAGAGAGAGAGAGAGAGGGCAGCGCAGACGCTCGACCAGGCAGCAGGGCTCGTTTCTGGCAGAGTTGTACGGACGGGGGGATGGCGAAAGATGAGAACGAGGACGACGACGATCAGCATTGATGAGGATGAGGATGAGGATGATAATGATAATCTTGCTGAAGATGATGACGATCATGCTGATGGTGATGGTGATGGTGATGGTGATGCCGCTCATGATGAGGATGATGATGATTCAGATGGTGATGTTGGTGACGGATGAGGAGGACGATGCTGATGAAGGTGGCAATGAGTATAATGATGATCATGGTGCCAATGAAGGCGCTGCTGATGATGATGATCATGATGCCACTGATGATGATGTTGTTGCTGGTGATGATGCTGGTGACGACGATGATGACGATGACGATGCTGTTGCTGTTGATGCTACAGCTGCTCCCGCTGCTGATGATGAAGGATGATGATGCTACACAATATGGATATTCTGACAATTCGGTGATGATGATGATGATGATGATGATGATGATGATGATGATGATGATGATGATGATGATGATGATGATGATGATGCAGATGATGTTGATGATGCGATTGTGCTCCTTGCGGTGATACCGATGGCGGTGACGATAGTGCTGACGATGATGGTGATGATGACGGTGAGCGCGACAGTTACGTATGATGTTGGTAATGGTGATGATGTTGGTGGTGACGTTGATGATGATGAACAGCAGCAACGGCAGCAGCGGCGGGAACAACAGCACGGGCAGCGGCGCCCCGAGGAACGGCTCCCCGGAGACGGCCCCGACGCTCCCGTCACCCGGCTCGGGTACGTGAAGCTGCGGAACGAGGCGGCCATGGAGAAGGAGCCAACCGCCGCCCGGGATAGGGGCACAAGTCAACCCGAACAGGAAGGATGGGCAACCTTCCCAAGGGTACCCCCTTGCATCCTTGCACCTCTGGCCCATCCTTAGCGACGTTCGTCGGCCAGCCCTGTTCGAAAAGCGTTATCGTGGCCCTCCAGGGCCCTTGCATCCTTACCGCTCATCCTCGTCATACGCGTTGACTGTAGGTGGGGAGGAAGATGAGGAGGATCCCTCCCGCCGCCGACTCTACTGCTGCCGCGCTCGATGGCCAGATGGCTGGCCATCCATCAGCCTGGTCGTGCCCGACGGCGCACCAGGCTTCTTCCCAAGCCGTTCGTCCTGGAGGCACTGGCGCTGCGAGTCGAGTGGGCTCCTGCCTCCGTGGTACCCGCAGCGTTCGTAGCTCCCCTCGTTCCTCTTACCCCCGTTCGCAGCTGCTGCCTGGTTTGCACAGGCCGCCTTGGGAGATCGTGCAGGGCGGCCACGGGCATCAGTACCGAGCGCGGGACGAGACTGCCGCCAGCGACAGCGATACTAGGGGAGGCGGTCTCCATTGCTCTGTTCTGTAGGATTGCTGATGCTCTGTGTGCCTCTGCTGCTGGTGTGTCGTCTTTTCTCTTCCTACTCTGTGGCTAGGCTTCGAACCTACTGCCTATCGACCGACCCAGGATGAGGTAGCGGCGGAGAAAGAGGGAGATGGGGAAACACGGATGGCGATGATGGAGAATTTAGTGGAGGACGAGGAGGGTGAGGGTTGGAAGGGGGGGATGCGTGACGTTGATGTATACCGTGTTGATACAGTCATGCTCATGATGATGGCGGCGATTGATTTGACGGTTGCCAGTTTGGTGATGATGATGATGGTGGTGGTGAGGAGGAGGATGATGATGATGACGATGACAATGCCGATGGGTGATGATAGTGTTGATGGCGATGTTGATAATGGTGATGGTGACGGTAAAGGTGATGGTGATGATGGTGATGATGTTGATGATGATTGTGAGCATGAGGATAATGAGGGTGACGTTGCCTTTGACGATGATGACGATGAGGGTGCGGATGGTAATGATGATGTTGATGATGATGATGTTGACGATTCTGATCTTGTTGATGATCATGTGATGGTTATGATGAAAGTGATTAGGATGATGCCATTTATGATGGCGCGGATGCTGATGTTGATGCTGCTGCTGATGCTGACGTTGATGATGCGGATCGTGATGTTGATGAACGTGATTGTGGTTATGATGAGTGTGATGATGCTGCTGCTGATGATTTCGATGATCCTGATGATGATGCTGATGATGATGATGACGGTAATGATGGTAATGGTGGTGGTGGCGATGGTGATGATGATGATGATGATGATAATGGTGGTGATGATGATGCTGATGCTGATGATGATGATGATGATGATGCTGATGATTGTGCTGATGATTCTGACGGTGATAAGGGCGTTGACGAAGACGCCCTCGGTGCAGTCGACGATTGCAATGTCACGCGGTGACGGTGATGCCGGTGATGGGGATGTTTCTGATGCTGATGAGGAGGAGGAGGAAGAGGAGGAGGAGGAGGAGGAGGAGGAGGAGGAGGGGGAGGACGTGGAGGTCCGTAGCCACGTTGGCTGAAGGCTCGAAACCCAGGTCGCGGGGCTACGAATCGAGGTTTTCGCCGCCGTGCGACAAACCACCGATGGTGGCGGGTTTCATACGCTTTCTATCTGCCGATCTTTACAGGAGCCCCTTGGTGCCGCGCGTCGTTCCATATCGTTCCGCGGTCATCACTTTTGATGCCGCTGCCAGGCGGCGAGAGATGGGTGCCAGGAGCAGGAGGAGGACGAGGACGAGGACGAGGACGAGGACGAGGACGAGGACGAGGACGCTGCCCCACGGTCCCCACGGGGGGATGCTGGGCGCTCGGCGGAGGCGTTTTGTTTGAATTTGGTCTGGTGGCCGGCCAGGGTTTTATTCCCCCAGATCCCTTTGTGCCTGGCTTGGCCTGCCAACGGTAGTTTCCTGCGGAGCAGGTAGTCGGGCTCCCGAGCAGTTGGATGAGGCCGCCACCTCCCTGCCGTCAGCAGTAAAAAAGAAGCAGAAGCAGAGGCCGCCCTTCGAGCCAGATCTCTGTGCCGCGTGCCCGTGCAGGGCCTAGACAGCACGGAGGTCGTCGGAAGGCAGAAGGCCGCACTGGCACAGACGGCCGCGAGACTGCAAGGGGAAGCATGCGCAAGTAGTCCTCATGCCGGCAGTGTGGCTTGTTTTGTGGACGACGATCAAACATCTCATAACATGTTTCAAACAGTTAGGTGTCCATTGTCATGGTAAGATTGTTAGGTTGTCCATTGTATGGTATCCACAGGGCTCGTGGAGTGGTTAGGGTGGGCCTGAGCCCATAGTGGAGACTCCAGAAGAGCGTGAATTGAAGAAGTGCGTGGACCAGGGTCGGACCTGAACACTGTTCTGCTGGACTTCGGCTGTGTTTTGTTTTTCGTTCTTGGCAGGGACTGTACATGAAAACAGGTAGAGCAGAACGAGCAACACAACGACAACAAATCGACAAATAACGTTGAGGTCAAGCCCTGGTGCGTGGACCGCACCGCCGCTGTCTCGCACCAAGCCAGCGTCGCAGGCTTGGCCACAACAGCACCCGCGTCGTGTACATCTCGTCCCGTCAGCTCGAGCAGAGTGTCAACGTTGTGGAGAACATTTGCGACATCACTACTCACTGGTTGGACGTTTAGGAGGCGAAGCTTGAGCACATGGGGAAGCAGCTGTACTTCTTTCTTTCTGAGATGCCATCCGTGGACGCGCTTTCGTGTCAGTGCGGGGCATGTGCAATGAAGACTTCAATGCACAGCCTGGGGGCATGTACAATAGCTAGAACGTAGCTTACGTGGTTCGGTATCACGCGTGTATGCCGGCGTTCCAGTCGCATACCTTCCTGATGCTCCAACTCAGTATTCAGTCAGAGGCTCACGCCATGCGAACCTGTGCGTTCAGCTGCACATGTGAGACCATAGTGGCTGCTCGCCACGCGATACACACGGTGATTGTCAGACGCGTCCCAGGCTTGCCTACGATGAGGAACGAGTGTGCTTTGAGCTGATGAGTCAACGCCGATGTTCTGCCAGGCACGTCGACGCCCGCTGCACCATCGCACCGGCATGGCAACCGTCGGTCTCCACCCGGGTCGGTCTCCTGCGAGGTCGTTGCGTCGCCACACTCGCAATGGCAAGCCTGACTTGAGACAGGGAAGCTGAAAGGCGGGATCATTTGCAGATGACGTGCTTTCTGCATTCGTGTCCAGCTGGTGGCGTCGAGGAACTCTCCAGCAGGGGCACCGCTGGGGAGAGCGGAGAGGTCATCTGGGCAGGGGCGATGTTGAGTGACCACCGTTGTTGATGCGAGCTGCAAGGCAAATTCAAGCTGCCACACCTTTGTCATCCTGTAGTGGCGCCCACGGGACCATATCCGTATCAGGAGCGTGTGCCAAAGCCTTTGACGCCAGTCTAGCGACCGTGTCTGCGAGCTCATTCAGAGGATGGCTACAGTGTCCAGCAACGTGTGCCGACGAGAGCGAGACCGTGTCACGCACGAGCTTGCTTCAGGCGTCAAGTAGTTGAGGTAATTGGTTGACCGCAGGAACTGTAATCTACACACGCCACCGTTTCTGCTGCCATCATGTTGTCTGTAAGCGCTGAAATGGGAAGAGAACAATGCCGTGGGGACGCCTGCGATGGCCTGCGAACGTGCCACAGGCTGCTTTGAACTCGGAGGGGGCCCGGCGCGCCCACAGACTTCTCGCGCGAGCAGCGGCCTGGGCCTGCTGGATATCCGTCGATGCGATATATCGGCAGTCTTCGGCCACGCCGCGCGCATTGAACGACCGTGATGGGGGGATCCATTCGTAGCGTTAAGTCGGGCATGTCCATCTACAGGAGAAGTATTCAAAAATAGTCAAAAATCGTCGGGGCACGATTTTTCAAAAGTTGTTGTTTATTACTTTTGTTGGAGTACTTTTTGCCTACTGCTTTTTTCGCCCAGAAAGCCGCCTGTAGGGGGATATGCCCGACCTAATCGTAGCGCTGTCTGAACCACCTATCTGCAGGGAAACCTGCACAAAGCGCCGAGCATGAGTTATATTGGCATGGCCAGGGCGCCCAGAGGGCGGAATGGCGAAACAAAACGCTCGCTATCATGACTGCAAGGCTAATCGACCAGATGGATCCCCACAGAACAAGAAGAAATCATACCAGTGCTGTGCACCTCAGCGCCCACGCCAGAATGGACAAGGGAGCTCGGACTTACGTCCAGTCTCCTAAGAATGGCCCTCCATGTGGCACGACGGGCGACGATGAACCTTGACGGCGATGTTCATATACAGAACATTCAGGTTCAAGACCAACCTATTGGGTACCAGTGCGATGCGTTTCAACCGGGCGGTGTGACGAATTGTCGCGCTCGATTGCACTGGGAGCCTCCGGCGCCAGTCTTGCTCGGAAGCGAGGGACAGCGACCGCGCCCACGGAAAGTTCCGACCGTCGACGACGATCGTTTCCCCCCCCCTCGGTTGAGCGTGACCGCGCGCGCTGCTGCCCCCTATTCCCGAATTTCCGATTATTCCGAATTTGCGACATCTACTTCGCCCGACACAGAACAACAGACAGCACTACCAACGGATGCCCGAATCAAGCAAAAAGAAAAGCAGAAAGCTGACAAAGCAGCCGGCATCGAACCACTCAATATACCCAAAGTAGCCGAAGACGGCAACGACGACAGCGGTGAGGACCTGCAGGGCCTCGAGCGTGGTGCCTACTACACCGACGTCCCCCTAGACACCGACAGTGACGACGATGAGGAAACCTTCAACACACTACCAGCGGGGTTACCTGCGGATGCACATGCCGATGTGTTTTCCATAATCCCAATCTTGTGTTACGGACGACATAACAAGGTAGATGCGCTGGAATTATGTGGAGGTGCTGGGGGAATATCGCAATT